GTGGGACTTGTCAAGGTCACACAGCCAGGCGCCATGGAGCCCAACTCCTGCAGGTGCTACAGCCCCCAGTTCTACAATGCTTTCACTAAGGCCAGTCCTACCCGAGGGGGAACAGACTGAGGGGGTCTGGAGAGTAATGTGTGGTGCGGCCTCCATCTTCCTGTCTGTGAAATGGGGACAGGAGCCACTGGGCACCTCCAGGAAGACCCTGGAGATAGTGGCAGGTGGACAGCCAGGGCCCAGCCAGGGCCTGAGGGTGGCTAGGCAGGTCTGTGCAGGCCAGGTCTAGGTCCACTGGGTTGGTGATACCAATCGGGAGGCAACAGCTGCCTCCAGGAGGCCTGTGGATGGCAGACAGGCTGAGGGAGTATTATTCACGAGCCGTCAAGCCCCAGGACCGTCTGGTTGGCATAGAAACAGGAGATAAGGGGCACAATTAATGGCATCGCATTCCTCCTCCTTTCTTCCCCAACTGACCCACTTAAATCCAGAGCCCAGTGCCATCCTGGGCTCTTGGTGACCTCCGGGGAGGGGCCCTGGGCTGGAGGGACTGGGTCTGGGACTCAGGCTGGCATAGGCTGGGTGAGGCCTCCCTAGGGGCTGCCCCTGAGCCACAATGGCTCAGGGAGGAGGCCATAGAGACAACCAGGGCAGAGCAGGGAAAAGACCCCAGGCCTCTATTCCTCCCACAGCCCCACTGTCCGGATGTGGAGACTGAGGCCTGGGGTGCCAGGGGCAGGCAAAGGCTAGAAGGTCCCAGTGGTTGAGAGCATGGACCAAGTTGCTGCAGAAGCCATTCTTGGCTTCTCTGTTTTCCCAGCGGTGCGGTGCTGACAAGAACAGGCCCTGCTGTAGGTTCATTCGCAGCCTGGCACAGGGCAAAAGCCCCCAGCACCTGCTGGGACAGATGCTAATACTACTGCCACACGGCCAGGTGAACTTATTGCTCTCCCTGGCTCGGAAATGCAGGGCAGCCACCAGGGCCAGAAGCCAGGGCAAAGCCCCAGCAAGCATGAGAGATGACGGATGTGGGCCTCAGGGAACCCAGGGTAGGGCTGCAGAGTCCCTCCCACCTCTGACTCCTTCTAGGACGAGGGATAACCATGACCTTGAGTACCAGGCACACCATAGATGCTGGTGCCCTTGGGATGCTGACGGGTTCTGGGAACGATGAAGCCAACGCAGAGGGCAGGATTAACATCCCTGCTAACCCCGGGATGGCAGACTGTTGGAAAGGGGGGATCTGAGGCTGTGGAAGGCAAAGTAACCTGCTAGAGGCAGTTGTGAGTCACGGGCAGCAGGCCACCAGAGTCCCCCTCCCCTGTTCCCCATGCTGTGCTGTCACACTGGGCAGTGGGTGCTGTGAGAGAGTCCCTGGGAACTTGGCGCCACTTGGAAGGGGAGTATGGATCGCTCTGTGCTTACAGTCATAACATCACCAGGACCACCCCAGCCCTGTTTTGGCCTGACCCAGGCTCTCCGGGAACAGGGACTGGCCCTCCACAGACAGCACAGCTGGCCCTGCAGTAGGTGGTGGGCGCTGGGCTGCTGGGCTGCTGGGCTGCTGGGCTGCTGGGGAGCAGGCAGGTGGCTTTGAAGCTCAGAGTGAATTAGTCATCCTGTGGCTACCAGTAATTTATTTAATCAAACTCTGAGAATGTGTGAAAACCCTGCTCTGAGACTGGGTGTGAGTGGCAAGTCCCCAGCAACTTCCAGGTTCCTTCCGGAAGCTCCTTGTCTGGCTGGCCTACATCCATTTGGCACCTGGGATCCATAGGCCCTCCCCTCCTATTGCAAAAGGGGGCCCCTTTTACCCTCTCTATCCTGACCCAGGGGCTTCCAACAGCCCTGGGGGCTTGTTCTTATTCTTATTTTTCAGGGAGGGAAACTGAGGTCCTACTCTAGGTAACCCCACACTGCTACCTCATTCTCCCTTTTCCTGCATCTCCACTTCTCAGCCCTTCACTGCCCAAACAGTCAGGGATCATCAGCCCATTTTTCCCAGCTGGAAATTTGGCCAGCCAATTGTCCCTGGAAGTGGTTCCCATGGCTGGCCTCTGCTTGGCAGTCTGCAGGTCCCCTTCCGAGAAGTGTCCCTAACACCCTTTGTCCTCTCACACAGTTCTTGGTCCCTCCCTCACTTACTCACCCCCTTGTATTTACTGTGGGGGCAGCAGCTGGGACCCGGTGCTTGCACACAACAAGTGCTCAATAAACACTTGCCTGGGCACGGCAGATCTGGACAGACCTTCCTTTGATGTAGGGTGCCTGCTGAAAGAGACACCAGAACATGGGGCTCCCCCCCAAAACAGCCAGGTCCATGGAAACCACCTTATTTTTAGTTCAAGAAAACTCTAAGCAGGTTACACCTAAGACTTGCTGGGAACCAAGAGCAACCCAGCATGAATCAGGGGAAACCACCTCTCCAGCAGATGACAAATCTAGCAAATGCTAAACACCATCTAATAGGAATTAGGAACACTCCCCTCCTCTCTGGCCAGCACAAAGTCAGTTTTCTTTCATTTTGACGGACTGTACCACTGGCCACAGGGGGAGGATCAACTTCTTGGCAATTATGTGTGTTTGGGTAAGCTCTCCAGATGGACCGCACTGATGCTACTTGCTGCCTGCTCCCTGCCCTGGCCAGACGGCCCCTCAGCCCCTAGGCCCCTTGCTGCTGTTGTCTTGAACTCATGGGGTCTGGTGGCGTTAGATAAGGCCTCTTATCACTCTTGGCGATCGCCATTGGCAGTGGCCCCCGCTTATCAGATCTCACATCGACTGGGCTGGAGGAAAGCTGGGGGGCCAGGACATGAGGGTCCTGAGCTGCGTCCTGGCCTGTACCTCACCCCCTCGCCAGGGGCCTAGCCTATCATCACACCCATGTGGCCAGCCAAGGCCGAGCTCCTGCCTTGCCCTGCCCCCTCCCACGTTTGAAGTTAATAAATGGAAGCGCCTATCACAGCCACCATCAGTTGCACGCCTTATCAGCACGGCACATCTATCTCCAAGCAGAACAAAAGGCGTACAGAGCCTAGGGCAGCTGTATCCTGGCTTTGGTGGGGGTACGGGGTCGGTGGCCCCAGTCATTCATTTGGCTCCTTCCCCTCCACACCCTGCACTGGGCCCCAGGTGAGGCCAGGGCAGTGGGGCACAACTATGAGGACCGCACACAGAACCGTGGGCAGAGGGCGGGCCAGCAGGCGCCGCAGCTTGGTGACAATCAATGTTCGCATCTTAACGCGCTTAGATCTGCCGGGAGGCACCCAGGGCTCAAACTGAGGGGAGGGTGCCACCCCTCTCCTGCGTCTGGCCCCCTACCCTGCCCAGGTCCTGGGGCACGATAAGGGGAGTCAGAGGGGCTTGCCTGAGCAGTCCCAGTCCACAGTGTGCAAGCTGGGCCGGGCTCTGCTGGGCTCCTGCAGGTTTATCTGGGCTGGCGATCAGTTCCCAACCTGCGATCTCCCTGCCCCAGCTATCTACATTTCTCATCAAGCTGAAATTCACACACCACACACACACACACACACACACACACACACACACACACACACACACACACAGAACAGAGCACAGGCGCATAGGGGAGGAGAGGAAAAAGAAACCAGAGAACCAGCGCAGATCCGGACCTGTGGGTGGTTTTAATACTTGAGTTGACATGATAGAAGGCGACTTTCGGAAAACAGGTCCCACTCGCATTGGCGAGTCGAGTTACGGGAACTCGGATTCCTGCCTGAGTTTCCCATCTCCAGAGACTTCAGGAGTAAGGAGACTCCCACAGGCTAATGCACATGGGGTCCAGGAGGCACTGGTCATGTGGGCAGAAGAGGCAGTGCCAGGCACCTGGAGCTGGGACACTGGATGGCCCCCTCTTCACCTCTGGGCTGGCTAGGGGAGGCACTCCCCAGCAGGCTGCGCCTGGGCCCTGGCCACAGAGGCGCGAAGTTATTACTGGCCTGGGGAGGGGCGCTTCCTGTGCGCTCCCTTGGTCCTAGCTGAGGCTCAGTGGCCCAGAGAGTGCTCAGAGCTCTGACTGTAGGGCACTGGCAATGTGGACAGCCATTAGGCCTGGTGAACTGTCCATGGGCCAGACTGGCTAGAAACTTGGCCTCACAAAGGGGCAACGAAAGCCCGGGAAGACCCCAGCTCACTCACTGACTCAAAGCAGCCCCCTCCCATGAGGGGGTGGGAGGGCAGGTGCCCACCAGGAAACAAGGGGACTATTCGCTGCCCAAGCAGTCTTGGCAGGGACACTTGGAGGGTCAGACTTCCAGGAGGGTGTTCCAAGTCGCACAGGGCTCGGGTGGAAAACCCCAGCTCCAGGGCGGTTGGGGGTTCTGGGCTGCTGGAGCCTAGGCATGGGCTGCGGCAGCTGAACCCCCACCCCCCACACACACCTAGCCATGCGGCTCTGGCCAGCGTCGGTGGTGGGCTCCGGCTGGTCCCCGCCACTTCGCCATGCCTGTCCATGCAGCCCCAAGTGCCCCCTCTCGCTCCCAGGTCTCTCTCTCTCTCCCTCTAGATACAAAGCCTGGGAGAGTCAAGCGCGAGAGATAAGATCACAATTTCAGCCCGTCCCGACAGAGCGATCTTATCAGGATGGGACTTGCAGAATGGAATATTTTAAACTTTATCTGAGCCGAGATCGGGGCCGTCCTATCGCCGCACCATCTCGGAGATGCGGGGGAGGGGCGGGCCGCGAAGTGGCCGCGCGCTGCCCGGACCGCGCCCCCAACCACCCTCCTCCCGGCCATCCGGGCGGCCACCCTCTCCTGGGCCGGACCCCTGGTGCCCAAGTCGAGACGCGGGGGCCCGGCCCGCCAGCGGAGATTAGATTACGGCGCGCTTGGCACACAGCGCGGGGGGCGCGGCGCGGGGTGAAGGTCGCCGGCGCTGGCGGGCAGAACTGGGATGGGCGGCCGCGCGGGGGTGGCGCTCGGCGGCGGGGCGCGGACGGGGGTCGGGCGGGCTGCAGGGACCGTGGGCAAAGTTTGACTCACGCTTGATCTGCCGGGGGTTGCTCTGTTTCCTCCTGGACATGTCTCCGGCGCCGCGCGCCCTC